TGGGCGGGGGGGGGGGGGGGGGGGGGGGGGGGGGGATGAGCAGAGTGAAAGAAAAGGTGGGGAGATCAGAAAGAAAGACTTGATGGATTTCTTGTCTGAATAAATGAGTAGGAGGGAAGCTGTTTGATCAATGAGCTGTCCATCCTCTCCTCAGCCGTCTGGGTCTATGCTGGGCAGAGAAAACACAATATACTTCACCCAATTTAAATATTTTTAAACTTAATCATATTCAAATCCTGCCGTATTCCGACCCCGGGTGTGGTGTAGCATGGCATTAATAATAAATTAAGTGCTTTTTATATTCTTGACATTCATGAAAAAAATATAACTTTAAACATTTTCTCATTTCTTCTGAACTGCTGCTCCAACAGACTCTTCATTGGTACACTGGCTTTATTTTATTTTTTATAAAATGTATATGTTTCTCTTCCTAGGAGCCATGTTTCCCCTGGACCTTGTGCTTTTCTCTCTTTAGTAACGGCCCCATCTGTTGACATCTACCTCTGGTTGTTACTGTCCTTGTAAATGAGACATTCACACCGTCTCCACTCTCATATGTTTGGCAAACCTCTTTACTCTCTCCTGCTATTCTGTATTCAGCTACTTCAACTCAACACCTTGAGAAATTTCCATACAAACGTTGCATCAAACTCACTGCAATTGCGCAAACATGCAAGCGCACTAGTGCACTGATGTATGGAACATACATATTTAACACTCTGAATATCCATAAAATTGAAAATAGTTTTTTCCCAAAGTTGTACTGGTATTGATTTTAGGTCAGTGAACATATGGGTCAACAAAAAAAAGAGAATTTCCTGGAAAAATGACCATAGTGTCAAATAAATGTAGTTTCACTTCAGTTATTTTATGAGCCACGCAGCATTAGAGACTTCTTAAGGGTGAACACGGGAGGATTTGGGGTTGAAAAGTTTATCAGTGGAAGTGTTAGTAATTCAAGGACATAAAACACAGCTTTTATACATTGAATAAATAAAGTTAAATAATGAGATAAAGTGTCTACTGTAAATGTAATCTTTTGTGTTTGAGAACTTTTTATTTTTATTTTTTAAGTTGAAATTTTGAATAAATGTTAAAGGTCTAATATCTACACGTATATTTTCACTATAACTACTTAACTATAACTTTATGTTCTTTCTTTAATGTCACTTCGTTCCTTGGCAGTGCTGACTGAGTGAGCTATTTTAAAGGAAAGTACACTAGTAACTGATGAGCTGTCAAACAGAGGGAGGGAAGGAGGGCTAATCTTTACCTTAAGCTTCATCATAGAGTCCTGGCACAGCTTGTCTCCACGGGCCGCGGTGACCTCATCCAGTCCGATGAGCTTGGCCTTGTAACGAACGCCATCTCCTTTAAAACGTCTGATGAGCGCCGCCTCGCTGCGATCTTGCCCTGCAGGCACACACAGACACACACTCTGAAGTCCACAGTACATCTTCCAGTCAAGGCCCTCCATCTACCTGAGATGTGGGGCTATTACCTGAGGATCATCAATCACCAGGACTGCGGAACATCTCAAAAGTAATCTCAAAGAAAGCCGTGATGTAGGTCAAATGTACTGACGATCGCAACGTTACGGCGCGTCCAACTGAAATCCAGGAATCAGCTGTGGTGTCGTATGAATGGCACTGATCTTTATATGCAGACGTGTTAATCAATGAAGTCTGACAGGACAAGAGGTGAGAGTCTGACCCCCTTCCCTCTCCCCACCCTTCACAATTCTCCATCAAAAAATATTGGCGTGACATTATGCTCTTATCTCCCTCCATCCTCACTTCTACTGTACTGGGTGTTGTTTGTATTGTGCACATGCATCAGAGAGTGCAAGGAACCAATGTTGACCTTCCCCTCGTACAGGAGGTCTCTGCGTTATCTCTTGAAGAGACCACAATGCTCCTCTTCACATACAACAAAGCAGAGAGAGAGAGAGAGAGAGAGAGAGAGAGAGACAGACAGACAGAGAGAGAGTGGTCACTCTTGAGGTTAAAGACAGGCTTTTTTTTGTTGCGCTCCTTCCATATCTTATCATATCGTTTTTTGTTTTATTCTTGACCTGCAGCTGGAAAACATTTCATCATCAAATACTGTACAGAGAGTCATCTAACATCTGTGTTTCTGCAGTGTGTGTGTGTCTGTGTGTGTGTGTGTGTGTGAGAGAGAGAGAGACAGGGAACGACTGCAGGAGTGAAAGTGGGAAAGCATAATGATAATGCAGCAAATTTAGATAATATATTGAGGCATTAGTTCTGTACTTTGACTCTTGGAAGGTCAAAGTCTGAGTGATGGAATGGTTCCTCTCCTCCTCTCCTTATTCTTCCACACTCCCTCCATTCACACTGAGTCCCCCCGGCTCTGCACTACAGTAGGAATGGGCTATTTAACCACAGGCGAGAGCATTGTTCTACATGAGGCTACTGGATCATTTTGGTCCAACACTAATCTTCCACCTCCCTCTGCTTTGTCTGCTCGTCTACATCGTTGGCAGCGTAACAAATGTCTTTCCATCACCTGGGTGTAGTCCTTCTCCTTCTTCTGCCAGCTACGGATTTGTAATATTATAAGTGACTAAAGCAGCCATGCACAAACAGACACAAAAAGTGTTCTGCATATGAACTTTCTCAGACACACTTAGTCACAGTCACTACTCAGAGAAAATTGACGACACTCTGCATCAAAGTCCTCGGAGACAAACGAGCTGAGGAACATCTGTCCTTATTCCGGGGAGAGGAGGAGCGCTGCGGCGCTCCCTATTGTGTCACGTCTCAGCCGGGCTGAGATGAGAGCAAGAGATTAAACCACCAGGGGACTGTTCCGTTCAACAAAGAGACGTTTAAATGCTGCCTTCATTAAACATGAAACAGCGCTCTGAAGTGCAGGCGTACGTTTGTCGTGGGTAAACAATAACGCACGTTTCCATCAACTGCAACGATGACCCCATTGTCACCTTCTCTCTGCTGCTCTGCGTATAAAGAACACAATCAAATTGTATTCACATGCTCCAAACAGTCGTCAATCTGAAAACAAAAGTCCCTTTTTGTGATTTTTGTGTGTGTGTGTGTGTGTGTGGTGGTTTGTGTGTGCAAGTGAGTGGGGATTTCAACTTTTTGTGTGTGTATTTAAATTTGTGAGCGTTAAATAACACTGAAAGTGTCCAGCTGCTCTTGTCTCACTAGCACAGTGGTTTTCATTTGAGTTTGACATTTAGGACCTGCTCCCTCCATCTGCATCCATCACCGTTACTGCTGCTATACTTAGCACAGTGTGGAAGCGAGCAGAGTGAGGGAGCAGTCGAGAAAGGCCAAGAGGAGACGAGAGAGTGAATAAGGTGGAGGGGGCCACTTTTTTCTCTCTCTCTCCCACAGAGTGCTTCATATTTTTTACCTTTCGTGAACACATTCACTGAAAGACTCCTTTCGTGTGTGTGTGTGCGTCAGTGTCAGCAAGGGAAGCATTCAGTCTGCTGTAATTAAATGTCTTCTCTTGCTATGACCCCGCTGAGCTTCAAACACAACTAATGAAAAAGTCTTCCATTTCATCTAACATGTCCGCTCCCTCACACCCTCCACCAGAGCCTGTACACATGAAGTGAGTCGCACTCTCACAGCTTCATATTTTCTCTCACTCAGACATTGGAAATATGTCCTGACTCACACACATCACCTATGATACTGAAAATCTAATAAAAAGAATCTAGCGGTTCATCGGCAGAAAACACACACGGAGAATTAAAAACAATATCTGTTTCAGTTTGTTGTATTTAATTTCTACTCTTTTTATTCTGTAACTACAGAGAGACCATTGTGCTAACCCGGAGTCATAAAGCTTTATACTATATGGTGTCTACGTGTGTGTGCGTGAGTAAGGTGGGGGGGCAGTACTTAGTATGCAGGATTGGTTTCAGTGTCTGTCTGAAGCAACAAGCACAGACGCAGAAACGGACACAAAGCGGAGAGTGGAAGATGGAACGGAGGAATAGAATGTGATGGATGGATGAATGAGCCAGGTCTCCATTGGAGAAATGTCACTCAGGATTAGAACATTATGACAGCCAGAACTCCCACAACCTGTCCGTACACCCACGGACAATGACACAGTGACAGACGCACACACACACACACACACACACACACAGACGCGTGCTTCCACAGGTGATAGATGGCAGGTGACTGCTGCTGGAGCATGCATAATACTTCAGGGAAGCCCCTGGCATTGCCCCTGGCATCATCCATGGCAACTTCAACCTTGTGCCTCCCATGTGACTCTTATCACCGAAGAACCTCAAGTCTGTAGTATCATTCAAATGCAATACACACCTGATCACACACTGTAGCTCTGAAGGTGCCCGTTATCATGCCATCTTGTGGCTCTGAATTGCAAAGGAAATGTGTTTTTTTTAATGATAAATTAGTTAAATAATTAATGCAAATAACATTGGTTTTATACTTTAATTTGATTAAATTCATGTCAATACAGCAGGACTATTAAAACACACACAAAATCAAACGGCAAAAAATAAAAATGACATGAGACAAAACTGTGCTGAAAAACAGATCAAATCAGTTATCACAGAACAGACAGAGACGGTGGATGTGTTGTTTTGAATGTTTGACAGAAGATGTGGGTTTCAATAAATTGACAGAAAAATGCAGCACTGATCAGACAGATTCACAAATCTCCAGCAGAACCATGAGCATTAAAGCTAAAAACAGCTAACTCCAGTTAACGCAACACATCCCACTCAGCTCTGAATAGTTTTTACAGTGTTGAAGACCAACAAAACTGCTGCAATTAGCAATATGCCCTACACCAAAATTTAAGGGGAGAGAAAAATCTATTTATCTATAATCTATTTATTACAACAAAATAAAAAAAGTCCTTTTGTTACTATGTACATGCAAAACATGTACATAGTGAGCTGAAAAAGTCCTTTTGTTAATGCAAAACATGTACATAGTGAGCTGAAGCAGCCGTAGCCAGAGCAGTAGTTTGCCAGAGATAAAAAAAACCCTTCTGACTAAATGCTTAATTTCTGCAAAGTTAATTTAATTTGTTTGTTTAAAACATTTGGTCTTCCCGTTTTAATTGTTATTATTTTTGTAGAGCTGAGTTAAAGAGTCTTCACAAGAGGAATGAACATTTGTTGTTTTAAGTCTGCTCAGACCTACATCTTAGTTTTAGACTGTACAAACCTCACACTGCTGTGTGTTTAACTAAGTCAGCATGAAAGGTCAGGTTTAACTGAGTGTACTGTATGAACCGACAGCGACATTCCATTAGTCCATTCCAGTGAAGCCCATACAAATCCTCCAAACCAGAACATGAGAAAAATGCACTTCTTAGATTATTTTCTATAAGAAGAGCTTTGACCTCAACTAGGACAATGGAGTGCTGCAGTGTTGTTGGTTTACTTGGCAGGGATTTAACTAAAGATTGGCAGTGAGGATGACAGTAGTGCGTAGCCAAGTAAAAAAAAAGAAAAAAGAACTATTTCCGTAACGGCCACATCGTTTTTTTAATTTAACTCACTTTAATGCTTGAAATTAGCAACTGGGGCCATAAACTGAACAGAAAGGAATAGAAACATTAGTTGAAGCATCACAACATTCAACACAGTTTGACAAAAGGATTTAGATAGATAGATAGATGGATAGATGGATAGATAGATAGATAGATAGATAGTTAGATAGATAGATAGATAGATAGATGGATGGATAGATAGATAGATAGATAGATAGCTAGATAGATAGATAGATAGATAGATGGATGGATAGATAGATAGATAGATAGATAGACAGACAGACAGACAGACAGACAGACAGACAGACAGATAGATAGATAGATAGATAGATAGCTAGATAGATAGATAGATAGATAGATGGATAGATAGATAGATAGATAGATAGATGGATGGATAGATAGATAGATAGATAGATAGGTAGATAGATAGATAGATAGATAGATGGATGGATAGATAGATAGATAGATAGATAGCACTTCATTATTCCCTCGGGAGTTCCCTTTGGGAAATTTAGGAAAAATGTTGGACTTTTTTTGGGACATTAACCAGTATGCATTTGTCTGCCTTTGGGCCAATGGTAAGGAGGTCTATTTTCTAAAGCTTAGTAGTGCCTTAACATCTTGGTTCTAGATTTACATGAGTTTAATATGTCTGTATACATTTAAAATAATTTACGCAGTTTTTGAACTTAGCATAAACCCAACAATCACCCACTAATGACAGAGGAGTCGAAGAATTCTGTCTGATTTAGCAGCTGTATGTAGTGTATACTATATGTCAAACACTGTGTTGCTGACAGAGAAGTTGCAACGCCGCTCTGTTACAGTAACTTTAGAGTAGAATTTCAGCAGATTGGTACTGTGTGCAGCAGCTG